TTCTACTGGATTTTACCCGTGATATGAAGAACACTAGTGAAAAATATATTTCATGACCACTACATATGGCGAATATCGCGTTTTTCACGGAGAATGACGTTCTTCACGAAGAACGGGCGAAACTCCACTGCTTTCACCATTTACTATGATCAGTAGTCCTAACCTGTTTTCAGACCTCGTTCTCGAACTGCATTCATCGGAAAGAGTTGATATATATCGCAACTTGATATTTTCAAGTCCGGTTCCCAGTTTCACAACTGTTAATGATTTACCTATTCGAATAACACTTCACTGGATATAATAGCAGGGAATGTCGTAAACTGCAGCTTGATGATACTTAATCGATGTGAAAAATATTCACCGTAAGCTCAGCTAAGGGATTCCTTCCCCCGGGAGAGACACATTGTGTGCTACGGGAGATTGGAACAGCGATCGATGATGATGCACCAGCATCTCCCAGAACGATTCATAATTGGAACACCGATCCAATACTTGTCTACTGAAGTAAGACCGACCCAGGCACAAATTCACGACGCGAATTCGAAACTCAACAGTTGGGCGTAAAGAATCATCTTTATCAAATCCTCAGTGTCATGATGATCAGGTCTGATCAGACCTTCACATTTACACTGAATGAATCGAATAAATTGATAATCTATCCAGCAAAAGAGAGACCATCGAGCTAGACGAGAGTTCACGGAACAAGTTGGCAATGACTCGGTGTCATTGACTCCATCATCATGAGACGGAGTCAGGGCGAAAAATTAAACCTTCTTTCTCCCAAGTATCTTCTTGACAGCCGCCGCAGCATTCACGCGGCCGAAGGTAAGGGTCTCTACCCCTTTACTGTCCTTGACACCTTGGGTGGCCGTATCCTTGATGATACTTTTGATGTAAGCAGGGGTCAGCTTAGCCTTCAGAGAAGGTTCAAGGCTGTAGAGCATCCCAGCTATACCTGCTACAATAGCGGCGGCATGCGAAGTGCCCCTACCTGTGGCATACTCCCCTTTGAGATCAGTTGTAACTATTCCGTTACCTGGAGCGGCAATGTCAACAGCTGAACCGAAATTGCTTCCATCCGTAAGCTGCATGTTGGGACCATACGTTGCAGCCACACATAACACTCCATCAGCGGGTGAACGGCCGAAGAACAAGGGAAGTCTGGATTTATGTCCAAATCGCGGTGCTTATTCCCTGCCGTGACGACAACGAGCATGCCAGCTGCATTTGCTTCCTGATCTTGT